AATTATTATCATCATCACACTTATAATTTAGGAAGTCCATCCTTGTTCACATCCTTTGATGACCTTTTTTACTGTCAGTTTTGAAATCATGTTTATGAAGCTCATATTTGTTCTTTATTTTAGAATTTTTCATCTCCATAATGTATGTTGCTGGTTTACATTATGTTATTTTCACTCTTCACTTTTTCCCCCTTCCTTTTGGAATCACTAATTACTTTCTTCCTTTAACAAAAATATCATTAATCTGTCATCTAAAAGGTTACCAAATTATTCAAAATTGAATTCTTAATATTGTAGAGATAGTGTTTATTTCATATATCACAATTCACTTTCACTATGACCAACGATTATTAAATTCTAGATTTAACCTAAATATCATATTCTCTATTACACTGCCGGATATATAATTGTCTAGATTATTGTTTGTCTCATTAATGTTCAATCTTAGCCTTAATTCTTATTCAATATTGATAAATTCATATACACATGGATTCATTCAAGTAACTGAGCCAAACAGTATTCAACACAGCCTCCAACAGAGAACAAATGACAAAGATTATATATACAATAAAAGAATGAAGGTTGTAACATTATAGAGTAGATAGTATCAAACCAATAAAAACAAAGAAAAGAACATCACTTTTGTAAAAATTAGAGTAGTTACATATCTGTATATGATATGACATATCTGCAATTAGATTCCATGGTGCCAATTAACCTACTGCATGAGGCCAAAAGGAACAACGATATAGAATGTGAGTGCAAGCATGGTGGGGTGCTATATATCCATATTCAAGAAACTTTCTCACCCTCTTCGCCCTTTAGTTTTTTGACGCATATGGTATTTGTAGGGCCTCATCACATCATTTATTCCCGACATGTCAAGCGCATAAGATAGCTCCAACTAATTAACAAGGGCAGTGCCCCATTCCCCTCTTTCTGAGCCATCATGCACTTTAGGTTGTATTATTAAACTATGGCTTGCTTATATCCCAAGTTAAATGATTAATTTCATGGAACTTAATATGTGAAATGGTACAAGAAATCCATAGATGCTTTTCCTTACTAAGATATAGACAAATAGGGTGGTTAGTACAATACACACTTTTTGAAAGAGAAGGTTCCCTAGTGGGTTAGAAAATGGCATTTGCTTTGCTTTTCTTGGGAATTTATGCATTCGCCACATAAATATGTGATTGGGTCCATCTAAATTGTAGATAAACAAGCACTGTATTAGTGATCTTAACACGTTTTATGGTGGCCAACGGGTCGTATTCTTTGACAACAAATGTCAAATTTAAACATTTAATAACTTTTTATAAAATATAAAATTAATCAATTTAACTGTTAAATTATTTTACATTTTTTAATTTATATATTAAATTTTATGTAATTTAGACATTTTTAAGCATGTCATTCAAATTTTGATATTATTCATATTTTAAAAATATATTATCCATTAAAATAAAATAATACAATAAAGTACTTAATAAATTTTTTTTTATATTTTTATAAAATTTTACAAATTTAATCTACTTAATAAGAACTCTAGTTAATCTAACATTCTGTAAAAAATTATTAGGTAATATAAATAAGCAAGTTTGACATACGGTGTCAAGCTCCCTCCCTCATTTTTAAAATAATAGGTCACATTTTCTTACCTATTATCTTACAAGGAATTATATTATTTGTTTCAACTTTTGTTTTCTTTTATATTCATTCAAATTAAAAAAAAACAACCCTTTGTTTTATAAACAAAAAGAATATTACAAAATTTGAGTACAATGCGTGCTTAAGTATTAAGTTAAAGTGAAATATTCTTCCAAATTTCATTTTTAAGAACTTAAAAAAGAAAAATATAAAAATATTATATATAATAATTTAGTTTGTGTTTACTCATCATAAAAACTTATAATATTTGAAATGTATTGACAATTTGAATAGTCGAGTGTTAGGTAAGAATTTATTAATTTTATTTATTTAAATATTATAAATAAAAAGATTTATACTTTTATTTAATAAAAATTATAAAATAATATTATATTGAAAGCTCTAAAAATAGATAAAGATATTGTTAAATTTTTATTCTTTCTTTCTATATATATATATATATATATATATGATTATTTTTAAAGATTAGAATGCTGAGTACTCATCTGTAATAATAAGTTCATAAAAAGTTTACAGCTAATAACATAAAGCTCGCGCCGAGACAGCTCTAAGCAAGTGTTTTATGTTTTAATTATGCTTTTATTTATAGTGTTTTATGTTTTTATTATGCTTTTATTTATTGTCAAAATAAAAAAAATAGCATTTTAGTGGAAAAAATAAACAATAAAAAATAGATAGTATTTTTAAATATTATACATTTTAATCGGAGGGATAAAATTGAAATAAATCCCTCTCTTTTGTAAGGCACTGTCAAGAAGACCGTTCATAAAAAAATAAAATAAAAAATTGAATCAGTGTTCTCTACACATAAAAGTTAAGAAATTGCAGCTGTGCTTTGAGATGTGTGAACATTTTAGTTTATTGTGTATCTTAGATCATCCAAAATTATAATGCTTAGTGTATAAATAATAATGTAAAGTGAAATTTATAATATTTCCGCACATGTCCAAGATATCATTAAACTATATACGAATGTTATTATAATATTATTAAGATTTAACGTTTTATCATAAAACAATTTAAAATATTAAAATATTATATATACTAAAATCTTTCATTAAAATTGAATACGCGAAAGGAAACAATGCTATCAATGTACAGCATCCACAGGCTGAATTAGAAATTTAAACTAAACAAACACTTAAGATGGCATTAAAAAGTAATAATTGTATTTTCTTAGAAGGAAAATTAAACTATGTGAATATACAATAAGATATGCATATTTCAACACAAGTTTAAGCACTTAAATGACAACATCAAATGGAGCAGAGAATGTGAGAAACGCAGGACGAAATGGATCAGAACTTACCTGAATTAGAAATTCAAAAAGAGGGCAAAAGTTCTCAAAATCACTTTTCATTATTCAGGAACATTCTTCTTCTTCTTTTTAAATAATGATGTAATTTTAATTTTATGAAATTAAAATTAAAAGTTCACTTTTAGTTTTAATTATCATATCAATGATGATATTAATTTTTATAATATTTCATTTTAAAAATATAACTATTTATACTAATAGTGTAATAAAATTAAACTCTAAAATAAATTGCCAATTCATAAGAGTAGTTATATTTATTAGGAAAACACTGTAGTATATACTTTCCATGATCTCTAGTCATCACAATCAAAGGTTACAATAATACTTAATCACTTAAAAGTGTGCTTAGAAACTAATGTTTAATTACATCAATGATACTGGTGGGAGAGAATTATAACTCAAAACAAGTTTTATTCCTAATATTAGGAGTTTGATTTCTGTATTATCACTTTGAAGAAAGATTTATCTACACTTATAATGGGATGGTTTCTTGATTTTATTTATTTTTTCATGTACTTAAGATGGTAGGGTTAGTCTACTAATAATCATGCCTATGGGGTTACTTAATCATTGACCAGAGAAAAGAGAAAAAAAGGAACATCATAGCAAGCTGTATTCTCACTCTTCTCCTTCATCCACTTTATTTTATTGACATTTTTTTCTGCCTTGTTTTGAAATGGACTATCATATCATAGCATTTGAAAAGTGGTGAGAGATTTGAGTTTGAAGATGTTCAGGTTTTATTATCTGGCGTAATTATGCACTTTATGTAGTGGTCCAGTGGTGGAATTACCACAATTTTAGTGGGCTAGAGTCTTGCTTTTGAGCATTTGGAAATGATCCCAAAGGTTGTGAAAAGTTCTTTCCTCTTTTGGGGTGGCCAAGAATGAGCCATCTTTTTTAGTACTCCATGTTATGCCAATTTCAAATAATGATTCATCTTTTTTCTTTTATCCTGTTATGTTTTTCACTGTGGGTTTGGAAGCATTTTCTGTATATAGATTTTCAGAAATATTTTCAGCTGAATTAAGAAAATATATATCCTTATTTTTAACCTCCCCCACCTCTCAATTTTTGTAACCCAAGAGCAATTCATGTTTAAAGTACTTTTGATCTAATGAAACTTGATTTTCCAAAGGTTAATTACTGTTGATCTTTATTTTAAGGGAAAATTAAGTGATTTTCTAATTGTTCTTTCCTCCTAAAAGTTCTCAAATAATCTTTTATCTTTTGAACTATTTATTAAACTAACCATGTTTCATATGCATTACATCTGTAGTATTAAAATTAAAATTAAAATTTATAAATAAAAAATAGGTAGAATGATTAATATTTTCGTTATTAATGATGAAATTTATGGTACTAAATAAGAATAAGTTAAAGAAATAAAACTCTTATAAATTGAGGAAAAAGTTATAAAAACAAGTTTTGAATCAGGTCACATAATCTCTACTGATATGGTGCCTCAAAATTTAAAATTGAAATTTAATTGAGATTGACTAATATTGCACTAATATAAAAAATTAGTTTGTCTAAATTATATCTTTAATGTAATATAGTGTATCATGATTTGTGAGTTAACTGAAGAAGCCCAATCCAATAATCCATTATCCAGCCCAAAATTTTGTGGCCGAAGCTGAGCCCTTTCACTATCCTCATTATTGTACCCAATATTTAAACATAAAAAAAAAAAAAAAGATTACTGTGCCCCAATGAAAGAAATTCAAAACATTTTCTAGTGTTTGATTTATTTTTAAAAAAAAATTATTTGTTTTAATTATTTTAAAATATTGAAAAGATCAATAATTATATCCCCAGAAATAGCAGAATATACGTAAAAATCACCATACACATTAGTAATGAAAGCAAACCACTCATTAAACAACATATACTTACACTATCCAAGTGTCCAAAAGAGAAAAATTAATAATATACACCATTTCCATGAATCAAATAATATGCTTATTACAAAATAAGTAAGAATAAAAAAGAAAATAGTGGATAAATCCAATTATGGGAAACCAATAGAAAAGTTTACAAAAACTCCAAACAAGAGAATTGAAAGACCCGTGAAGTTGACCAAACGAGTCTCATTCTCATGTGGCTTTAGTTTTAAGAATAAAGCCTTCTCCATCAATCCAGTTTCTGCAGCACACACTGCCATGAACAACAGTGCTTTACCAAACACTTTGTGCCATGGAAGCACTCTTGCTCTTGTTGCAGGTGAACCTCCTTGAAGCATGAAAAAAACGAAACCAAATACCCACTGCAAATTGTAGACAACAATAAGAAGCATTATTCCCATAATCAAAGTTCCCACAAAAATGTCTACTTCAAAGTTTTTTAAAAAGTAGTTTATAAATCTTGTTTTCATCTTATTGTAATTTAATTTTAATTTATCAAAATAAAATTTATTGTTTAATTTATAAGTAAAAAACATCGATTAAATTTTTTTATTGAACAAACACTTAAATAAATTATGTATTCAAATCCACCCTAAATAAACATAATATTTGCTTTTCATTGCTTCTTAGTTATCTATGATATAAGGGCTGTAATACGATGGTCGATTTTAATTTTGGATCATTCATGATCTTCTGATTATAATATATTTTAATGTTCTGAAAATGTTTACATCTTCATATCTAACCACCATCAATGCAGAATCACTGGTAGTCTAGGACCATTGTATATGTTTCTCTTTGTGAAAAATAACAATAATAAGTGTTTTAAACTGTGGCTACAGTCAATGTTATGGTAATGCCGAACTTTTCAATATTGTAAAAAAATTACCGACAAATACATCTGATATGTAATTATAATGATCTTTATTGTAATCACAACATATACGATTACAAAGCCCACAAAAACCTTAATGTTGCAGTCATAATTGTAGTTGAGAACTGTAATTTAAAATATTATACATAGTAAATTGCAGTCCCCAACTTCAATTGTAGTAGTAATATTAGTGTCTTTGAAGACCCTCTATTACAACCACCAATGGGACTGTCTCAACTGCATTTATCTACAATTTTCTGTAGTTTGGTTAATCATAATATTGTGTGTGTTTTTTGCTAATCACAATGTAATTGTGAAATTTCAATCTCAATTTAAAACTAGTGATAACCATCAATTGGGTTTGTGATATATATTTAATTTTACCTGCAATCCAAACAAGCAGAAGGTGCCAATGCCAATCCATGAATGGAGGCTGTAAAGGTTGGCAATTTGTTGCATATCATGGAACTTGAAAACAGCATTCAAACCAACAATCCCAAGAATTATAGCAATCAAATGCAGGGTCATGTGAACAATTTTCCTGGTTTGCCTTTCGCTTGGTGTTGTTCGGAATGCCATCATAGCTGTTTCAATTTAATTGACGTCAGCCCAATCAGTGAAGAAACTTGTGTATATGATATTTTGGGTTCCATTATTTCCACACAAAGTTTTGTTGCTATTCGAGACAATCACGTGCTAAATTGAAGTAACAATTTTGCATTTACAAAGATAATTTGCTGATGAAGATAACTGGCTCAAACTCTATACTAAGACATAGCTCTAAGACCAAAGGGGAATATTGAAGTTCATAACCAGATTCGTACCTTCACCAGCAAGGAAAATGAACCCCAAGAACATTAGTAAAGGGTGAGCCTGTAGAACATATATAGAGACATGCACGTGAGTTTTACATTCATATGATTGTTAATTAATAGAGTTATGATTTTTTTTTTATAATAAATTCTTGCAACATTTTTATATTTTATGTTTCTATCTCTCCATTAAATTATGCATTTTATGTCAAATTTTTTCCCTCTAATTCGTATGCACAAATATAACTTCTCTAATTAACATGTAAACACCGAGGGAATCAAATTTTGGGCAGTGAGGACAAGTTAAAACAATATATCTTTCTCTTATTTCATATGAGAAAAAACATATAAGATAAAAGTAATATTGAAGAATTTTGAAATTGATTGGGAGAATTGTTAAACGATGTAACAAGAAAGAGGAGGGGAGAGAATTATACATTGAAGACACGAAGTCCAATGTGTGAATCATAGTCAATCCCTTGTTGGTAATGCAACAACCAAACAAGCAAAAGGATGATGGACAAGATGCCAAAAAAGTGTGCTAAACCCGAGACAGCAAGTGCACTCATTGCGTCACTCTATCATGCAAAGAAAGAGAGACTAGCTAGTGGCATAATAATAATGTGGTTCCATCTTATAGAAAGAGAGAGAGCATTGCTTGCATTCTTTGTTTTCGAATTTTGAACGAAGAAACTTAGAAATTTAGCAAGCATCTACGTTCCAAAAATATTGTATATAGGCATATATTCTTACTTGTTTGTGTATAGTGAGCACAAAAATGTGATCTGCATCGAATCCACTTGTTTTTATTATGATTTTCAGTGTGACCCACATTGGAACTCAACAATGGGGATTAGGATATTTGAATTTCTGAGTATGTTAGTGTTAAGGATGAGGGGTCAATAATGTTGCATGTGGCTCATGGATTGAGTTGATGCTTTGTAGCTTGTTTTAAAATTTAATAAAATTAATTTTAATTTGTTAAACATAATTCTTGAAAGATTATTGTATATGGGTGTGAAATGTCCCCACGATTGAAGTCATTTACCACATTTTCCCTTTCCTTTACCACATCTTCCTTATATGTAACATCATCATTACATTCTTCATATTCTTCTTCATCGAAGTTATTTGAAATGCCATTAATCTTATTTCCTTAATGTACAATATAAACTTTCACCTTAAGCAATAATACTCATCGCTTTATTCTTTCAGAGTTTCAAGTACAAAAATATATTATCTATATAATTTTGAAGTAAAAATTTACTTACCTCTTTCCTAAATTTTTAAGAACCATTCTTATCAAAAGAAATAATATTTATGGTATGCAAATTAAAATATATGCTTTCAAACCAAAAACAAATTTAAAAATATTTAAAAAATGGCCCGGCAACGCGTAGGTTCCTATCTAATTTTAAAGTAATCGCAAAGATGTGTAAATTTTCATCCATGCTATTCACATATTTTTTAATTATATTAACCATTAATATTTTATCACATGATAAAATACGCTCAAAGATCAATTTTTTTTTACCTTCATATTAAAACCACAGCAAAAGTTAATCCTTTAATTTGCAACCAAATAGGATGATTAAATTGCTCAAGCATGACGTAAATCCGATACCGTCGTAATATTACATTGTTGACCACTTGTGCAATTGGGAATAGCAAATTGTGAGTGACCTGGCCACAATAGCAAATAGTAAAATGTATTTGCTTAAAGTCAATCTAATTGGGAAATAAAATAAGCTGGTTGGTCACATTAGTAACCAATTTTCAATTCATGTTGGCTAGAAAAATGATTAAGCACAGTTGCACCTAGTCCAACTATGGTGCATGAAGCAGCAATGACTAGTGCTCAAATAAACAAGTTCCAGAATAATAATGTCTAGGGAGAGCATCATTGAAAATTATTTTCGTTCTTGCACGAATATGTCAAGTATCCTATAACTAAAGGCATGATTTTCTTATATTAGTATAAGTTTAAAAACTCTTACTTTCAATTCAAACATTTTATTTAACTTAAATCTAACGAGTTATAATTTATTATTTTACTAGTTGTTAAATTTAAGTTAAATGAAATATTTAAATTAGATATAAAAGTTTTTAAACTTACACTAGTATGAGATGATACTTCTCCAACTAATAATATTAAATATTCTCTCCAATTATAATAGTTTGTTTATGTAATATAATTTGGTATGAACTGATATTCTTAAAATGGTTCAACTTCACAACGCAGCAAACCAAAGAGAATGATCTGTTGAAATATCAAGTCCACCTTAGTAGGTTAGCAATAAATTAAAAGTTATATATAAAAAATGATTTCACTCTAAAATTGCAATTCACTTAACCTTGTAACTCATTCTTGAATTAAGTATTATAATATGGGTCAACTAAAAATACAAAATAATAACTAGATTTATGTTAAGATATCAGGTCACAACTATTATGATTTATAAATATTGTAACAGAAACATTATTTATTAAAAAATATGTTTATTATATTAAAACTTTAAAATATAGTAATTAATAAAATTTTACTATTATTAATTACTTAAATTAATATATAAATTCTGAATAAGAAAAGGACAGAACACAAATGGCAATGGATCAATAAATTGCACACATTATACTAAAGTCGTAGAAAGAAAAACATAAAAAAACAACAAAATGTACTAAACCCACTGCTGCTTGGTTGCTTCCAATTCCATTCTCTTGAGCAAACCACCAACCTCATCTTGCATTCTACTTTTCATGTTGAAGTAATCAAAGTGAGAATCTTTTAAGACATTGAATTCCTGAAGCTTCTTCTTTCTCATTTCCTGGGCCTCATGGAAGCAAAGCTTTCCAAGCCTTTCAGCATACTCTTCTTCCATCTGTGCAGCCTTTGTCTTTATCATCCTTTGGAACCCTTCTGCCTCTTTCCTTGCCTCATCTGCTTTCGTTTGGAACATTCTGGCTTCGGCCTCTTTTATTCGCACCATGCACTCCAAGCTTTCAACACCACCTTTCCTTAACAATTGCAAATCATTCTCATTTTTAAGTTCACTTAATGAGGTTTTGAGGTCCTTCTGTTGGTGATCATTTGACTTAGAGTAGCTCATGTCATCATTAGTGTATTTTGCTATCAGAGAAGCAGATTGTGAGAGACATGTTCTGTCCATTGTATGGTTAGCCTTAGCTGTTGACAAATCCTTTGAGGATTTACCACATGCAGGAATTTCTGACATGCCATCCGCATCTATTTATCAGAAAATTGATGTGTTTAATGAAGAATATCATGATGTATTCATATTACATGATTCCCATTTAATGAACTCTCAAAACAGATAAATTGAATATTAAAAGTAAAGATCACAGTTCAGAGACTTACAGCTGAAAAACTGCATGATGTAATTGCAGGCATCCGAAGGGGACACCAGTTTAGCTTGAAGCTTTAACAGCATATCATCGGTTTTAATATGCAATTCCTTCCCTTTGCAATCTTCACTTCCCTTGAAAATCCTTCTTACATAGTCGAGCTCTTTGATTAAGGTTTCTAAGCCCCAGTCCTTGGCACAACACATGAAAACATCCTTAACAAACCCAAACATTTCGGAAGCATGTCCACAGCCAATACAATGAAACTGCATCTCAGAGGTCCCCAAAGGACCCTTCAAGCTAGGACCAGGTTTGATTAGATTCCTCTGAATGCCACAAGCGGCATGACACCAGTGGAAACAAACATCACAACCCACCCAACTACAAGTGTTACTCGCACAATCAAAGTTCAAACAAATTGGACACATGCAAGAACTGCAAAACCCCTTATTCCCTGAGCAAATCTTGCAGTCACAATCATCAACAGGAAGCAAGCTCTTGCAGTTCACATTTCTACATCTCATGTACAAGAAAACTTGTACCATCTCAGAGAATTGCAACTTAGCAGACAAGAAACTTGCAAGGCCCATCTTGATAGCAACCAAAATCTCCAACTGCTCTTTGTGACACTTTGAGAGAGTCCCTTTGGTGAGGTCAGATCTTCGCTCAAGCCGGTTCTGTAGGTTCACTAACTCCTCTTTCTTCTCAGGAATTTCAAAGAGACTCTTCAAGTGTTCCTTAATTGATGCTATGACTTCATAGGAGAACTCTTTAAATGTCATTGCCATGGCTGGGATAGACTCAGAAACTATTTCTCTTAGAATTCTCTCTGATGTAGAAGGCTTCATCGTTTTCACACCACCCACCACACCTTCCAAGCCTCTCTCAGAATTCTTTCCCCTTGAACCCTCTGAATGAGTCTCAAATCCTGGTCTTGCAGGCAATTCTGAAGGGAAAAGGGATTGGTTATCTGAACTAGCAGTTTTATGCTGAATATTCCCTTGCATAAATGAATGATTTGCCAAAGCAACACCATCTCCTATTGGCTTGAACCTACTATGAACTGACCCATTAGTCCCCTCCCCACAATACCAGATTTGGTCATCCTTGCTCACAGAATACTCAAAGTTCTCAGTTGAATTGCGGGTGAGGGAGCAACTTGGGTTGTGTGAGAAGGGGTGAGAATAAGAGTAAGATAAAGAAGCTGCTGTGTAATCATTTGAACATGAATTCAGTGTGGTGGTTGGTCGCTTACTAGCCTTTGGCCTAATTGGTCGGTCACCATTTTGTAGAGCGTTTGAGGCTGTGAGAGAGAGTGACACATCAGGCAAAGCAAGAGAGAGATTAAGAGTTTCGAGCTTCTGCTTCTTGTTGTTGCCTCTATCTTTTTCCCTTTCACAATCTTCCCCAATGGATCTCTTTGAAGAATTCTCCTTAGTTTCACTTAAACTCAAGAAATCCCTCTCTACCCATTTCTCATCTTCATTTGAATTCTCACAAACCACAACCTCTTTGCCTTTTCTAGCAGCAACCTCTTTCTGAACAAGACCCAATTTGGGGTAATCACAGAGGTAGCTCAGGGTCAACTCTTGCAACCCACAAGCTCCAACTTTTGCGGGTATTGACTTAAATCCATCAACACACACCTCTGAATCTTTGAGAATTGTGCTATTATTCAGTTTTTTCTCTTGTGGGTGATCCTTGCCATGAACAAAACTCTGCTTTGAGTTCTCACCCTCAGAGTAGTCAACACCATTGGGAAGAAGATCTTTACCTCCAATCATGGTAGATTGAGGCTGACAACAAGAGAGAGACAAAGAAAAGCGCTAACGAAAACCAAAACTGTGTTTGAGACACGAAACAAGGAAGAATCTCGGGTGCTTATTTTTTTCTCAGTTTCGGTTTTGATTCTTCGATCAATACGAGATAGATAACTCTGCAACGCGTGAAGTTCCACTTTTAAACCGTTTACATTACAAACGTAAAAATACGAAATTAAAATAACTTTCTAAATTATAAATTTTCATTTCAGCTTCTGAAATCATTTGGTTAATTGTTATTTTAGTTTTTAGTAATATTAAATTATAGTTATTTTAGTTGATATAAGTAAGAATTAAAATCTTCAAAGCTTGATAATTTGAATTAAATAATATTTATAATATTAGGAATTATTACTAATTACTGTCTTACAACATTAAGAAATTAAAAGTAACAGTTTTTATGAAAAATTATGTTAAGATAATTGAAAATTATAGAAAGAGGTGCATTAATAATAAATTTTGACAAAAATTTATGCTTTTAATTTCTTAACTGTTATCCTTTGTATTAAACCTTGTGGTATTATATAATTTTCAATAAAAAAAAACTATTGTATATAAATTTTTAATGTGTATCATTGAACACCTATAAAATTTTTAAAAAGTAAGATTAAATGCATGTTTTGAATAATTTAAATTGTAAGAAATAACTATTTATTTTAAAATTTTAAAGAATTGATAAATAAGATATTATATTTTAAAAAAAATGAACTGAACATATTATAGTTTTTTTATTTGTATTGCATGTATTTTCTAAAAAAAGAAATTATGTTTGAATTATAATATAAACAATATGACAGTATTAGCTCTCTTAACAAACTTATATATATATATATATATATATATACCATTTAAACAATAATTTACAATTAAAATGTCCAGTTAGGGCCTCTTTGATTAAGAGTTATGCATGCTGCAACGTCTAAAGCTTTGAAAATGGAGTTTTTCAGGAGCATTGTTGTATTTTCTTATTTATTTTTTCAATATTTTTATTATTATGAAATAAAAATTATAGATTTATTATCCTAAGAATATAAAATACATCAAATATATAATTAAAAATGATAAAAGAAATTCAATTTTGAAAAAGAAAAGTCCAAACGCGTACGCGTTAACAAATTTGATCTACCATCTTAGCCCTCGGAAATGGATAGAATTACTGGCAAGAGTGGGGACCCGTTTTGACCAAAACTTCATTCTTCGGCACCGTCTATTTCAGGTCAGACTCAAGCCATGACCGGTTTTTCTTTCTTTTCAAAATATCCTAGATACTACGAAAGTTATGTGACACTATTACTACTTAATTATTTTTTTTGATAACGTAAATTTGAACGAGTATTTTATATTTTTTTAAATTACTTATAATTTATTTTATGTTTTAAAAATTAAAAAATATAATATTTTATTTAATTAAATCACTAATTTATTATTTATTAACGTAAAATAATTATAATCATGTCAAATATCAAACTTTTTGTTTTACCACCTATTTTTTATTTATTTTATTATTATTATACTTTATAATTTCGTTCGTATAGTATTGATAAATTTTAAAATTTATTATATATTAATAATTATAATTTTTTTTGTATTTTAGACATTAAAAAGTATATATATTTTTAATTGAATTATTAATTTTATTATCTATTAATATAAATTAATGATAAAAATTATTCTATATATGAATTTTACTTTATGATCACATTTTTTTTCTTTAACCTCTCCTTTTCATTCCTTTTGATCAACGCTTGAAGCCAAATTTAACGTTCAAATTCCTTTCCGAAAGGCATTTGATTTGGAGAGGGTTGTTTGGTCAAAACTCGTGGTCAAAGTTAGGGACAACGTTTTTATCGTACCCATGAAAACGGTTGAGTTTTAGTACCTTTTTTGCCCTTTTCTGTCAGTTTCATTGCTAACTATTTTTCAGAGACTTGGTCTCTATTGCTCACTGGCCAGTTTATTTTAAAAGAATATAGAAAAATAAAATTTTCAATTTTGTAAATTTAGTTTATGACAATTGGTTGAACAAAATTACATGAAATTTATTTTTTTAAAACTATATTTAAATTTTACTGAATTTAAACGTTCATAAATAAAAAAATTAATTATTATGTAAAACAGGTAAGACCGGGTCGCAGCAAATATGTATCCCAATTCGCACGTTTCTTGGTCATGTCTTGATTCAGTGTCAACATGCTATGAACTGGCAGAAGGGAAAAAGAGAGGACGATGAAGAAGAAAGGGATAAGAAGAAGACAACGAGTTCAAGAAAGAAGAGGTGAAGAGAAAAGAGAATGAAAATATGAAGAAAATCAACAATATTTGTCATAATTGTTAAGATTTATAGAAAATAACTTCTAGTTGAATATATTTATTTTATAATTATTAATATTTCTGAAAAATATATTTTAAAATATAATGACAATTGATCATACGTAATTCATAGAAATTATTTAAACTTATAAAAATAATAGAATTAATATGGTAAGATAAAATAAATTTTATTTTAAATTTGTAACCACTACTAATAATAAAAATTATCACATAATAATAATAATCATTGATTAAAGTTAATGTATCAAAATTATCAAAATTTATTTAAAATAATTAAAAAAATAATGAGATCTATTATGATTAAAATAATATACACAAGAAAATATAAAGTTTATAATATAAACTAATAATTAAAATAATATATTTATTTTTATTCGGTATTTCAAATTTTTTTTTAAATTATTTTAAACCAACAAATATATTTAAAATTAACTAGACTAAAGCATTAGTATAAGTTAAAAACATATGTATTAATTAAATGATAAATTAAAATGTATAATTATGTATTGCATATAAATTAGTAAATTAAATATTATTTTAATTTTAATTTTATTTATTAATTTATTTAAATATTTATAAATTATTATATTTTAAATGTGTATTTACAACAAAAATTTCTTATTCTTTTTACAAAATTAATTTAAGCAAACAATCTATTTATATCTACATATTTATGTAAAATTCACTGAAAAGTTATCATTTATTATCCTACATATTTATATTAAAATAATATTATTATGTATAAACCTAAATTATAATTAATTTTTTATTATTAAAATTCTTAATAAAAATACATTTTTTTAGAAATGGTTGTGCAATCTTTAAAATGAAAAAAATATATGTTAACTGTGTATTGTATTTAAAATAAATTGATTAGAATTGTTTATATATAAAAGTTTTCTGTTGGTGGTCATAAAATGTTAAAAAAAAAAGTTATTAGTCATAAATTATATTTAATAAAAAATTATAAAAATTAATTATATATAAAAGTGGAAAAATTGATAATAGATTGTTATAACAGAAAATTTGTATTAATTATCTTATTTTTGTTGATTTAAATAATTTAATATTTTGACTAATAAAAATGTATGTTAAAAACTAAATATATTTGAAAAAAAATTATTAAAAAAGTAATAAATATATCAATTAGTATGTACACTTAAAAAAATTATATTTTTTATCTTTTTTATTATTATTATTATTTTATTTAAAACATTCAACTATTGATGAATAATTAGTAAATCAATTTAAGTTTAATGTGGTAAAAATAAGCCTAAATTCTCACACCAAGTATCAAGCTCACCTGGACTACCAATATCAAAAAGTAGTTCTTATACATGTAGAAACACTCCTTCAAAAGTACAGGTATGTCACTTTAGCTCTCTAGTTTTGTGGCTAGGATGTCTAGAAGTGGGAAGAATAAAGTTAAGCTACAAAAAAAAGCAATGATTAAAGGTATTAAATACAAAATAATGGAGATAGAGTTTATCATTATTGGTCATTGTGCTACTTAAAGACTAAGGGAAGAGAATCTATATAAGAAACAAATGATAGAAAATGAAGGATCTTTTTCTTTTTAAGTTCTTGTATTTCAAAAGTTGTGTGACCCTCCTTAAAAAGTAGAGGGAAAATGTAGAGGAACTTTATAGGGGACTTCTTTCAAAGAGGTCTTTTCACAAGTGCACTTCTTAAGCTTATATAGTGTGCAAAATAGAAATGAAAGATAAAATAACCTACAGAATTGGCTTGAGCGAAGATTTAACCTCACCAAAGAGACTCTCTTGAAGTGTCACAAAGAACAATTGAAGATTTTGGTTGCTATCAACATAACCTATAGAATAGACAAAGTGGTTACCCCTGAGCGTAACTTGCATCTCGAGACATTGATCAATCTCTTGTAAGAAGGAAGCATGTTAAGATTTAGGAGTAAACTTGTTCTCCTAAAAAAAAAGTATTTGTTATGCTCACATAATTCACCTCTACATGTCAAGCATCCATGAACTTTCATTATTGTGTACTTCATAAACTTACCTAATTTTATCCGTATGAAACATTTGGTAATCCACTTGAGAAGTACACTAGGAAATGGAAGGAACACAGGTTTAACAATCCATGGTGATATTAAGGATGTTGTCATCTAGTTTGGATGGCTTCTTGTACAACAAAAGATGAACACAAAATCCGTTGAGTAAAATGGATGAAAGAGCATTGAATAATAACATTAGTGGATGAAATATTTTACTTATTAGTCATAAATTATATTTAATAAAAATTGATTGTATATAAAAGTGAAAAAAATTGATAATAGATTGTTGTAACCGAAAATTTACATTAATTATCTTATTTTTATTTATTTAAATAATTTAATATCTTGACTAATAAAAATATACGTTGAAAACTAAATATATTCGAAGAAAAAATTATTAAGAAAGTAATAAATATAACAATTAGTATGTACACTTAAAAAATTATATTTTGATTCTTATTGATTATTATAATTTTATTTAAAATATACAGCTATTGATGAATAATTAGTATATCAATTCAAGTTCAACTTGATAAAAATAAGTCTAAATCTCCACACTAAGTTAAGATAAAAATGTACCTGTAAAATTGATATATATATTTAATATGTGTGGCAATAAAATAAAATGTTAAAGATAAAAATGGGAACAAGGAGTAATGTAGCTTATTAATAATATGAGTGAAGGAATTTAAAAGGAAACATGACTGAAAAGGGAAAGATCATGTAGTAAGGGTAGCATCTTAAAAGCGCTCATATTGGAGGAAGGAGGTGACTGTGAAGCAAACCACGAGCATTAGGAAATCATTGCTGGATGAATGGAATGCCTAAGGAACCAAAGGAGCCACTACAGGAGATCAAACCCTTAAATTATTGAACAAAGACTGAGACATCAAGCTCATTTGGACTACCAATGTCAGAAATATGTAGACAAGACATTTAGAAACACTCCTTAAAAAATACAGACATGTCACTTTAGCTCCCTATTTTTGTGGCTAGGGTGTCCAAAAGTGAGAAGAATAAAGCTAAGCTACAAAGAGGATGTAATTGATGTAACCATTTTTTTCAAATCGATATTATAGGATATTAATACCTTCCTTGATCATAAATGAACCCATTTTTAATTTCAAAATCATTTTAAAGTTTTACCGAGATTTCTTTTTGTCGACGAATCATTGAACCATAATCTTTACCATTTGATTGCTCTCTATCTTTATCATTAAGTTGTTAACCAAGGGACTGAAAAAAACATGTTTTAGTTGGCCAGTTAAGTAGCAAATCTTTGCCAAAGAAATAATAAAAATTCAAATGCATATTAGGGTTGGTGAAGTATACAAAGTGAATTTTTCAATTCCGAACCTCTTCTCTTTCTACCAATTAAAAACAATGTAAAATTGATATTTTATGCCAACAATCAAGTAACTCTAACATCTTGATTCAAGGAAAAGCAATATGAGACTAGTTCTTTTGGAGTGTTTGGAAGTGATCACAAGGTGCCTTTTAGAATGATATTTAATTCTCGTAAGTTATTTTTTAGCTTATATCAATAATTTGTTCTTATTTTCAACTTATACCAACAAGTTTAAAGATCATAAAAGCGTATTATGCAAGCGCTTAATTAAGCTGCTATTCAAACACTCCATCCAAATTAATTTCTTAATGGAAATCCAAACACACTAATGTTTGAATCTCATATTTCTGGGGTCTGTGCAACTCTTACTACAAGAACTCCATACCACAAACAGATCTCAGACATGAACATCAATTCAGCTGTCTGTTCCCCAAAAATAAATGATAAGAAAATTTTAATAATGAAAAATTCAAATAAGCTCAGTATGCCATTGCAAATACATGTTTCACTGTACAGTGAAAGCACCATAAATTAATAATTTCAAGTCTGAAGAGAATGAAACTACAGATGAAAAAGCTCAAAGATTCAGTGACAATGAAATGTAGATGTTCTTGCATTAGGAGCCATTGCCACAAAACTAGTATTTGAATTCAATCAAGATGGAAAATATTAAAGTCTCAGAGTGAGATCAGGAGATGTAGATGTTTGTGATGGAGGTGCAGTAGCTATAAAACTAGTATTTGGATTATGAGCATGTTCATGCCCCAAATTAACACCACTCCTTTCATCTATCTGCCGGAAACTGCCTGGCCAAAATAGACCAACTTCATCATCTTCCACGAAGATCGGTGCTCCAAAATAGTGTTTCTCAAATCTTGCTGCAGCTCTCATATCAGGAGCCCTCACAGAGGACAACATATGTCCTTGGTGCATTGCAGCATGAGCTTCAAGTCCAAGAGACCGAAAAGTGGAGCCATGAAGAGGTAAAGATGCTAGGCTTGTGCATTTTTCGGTAAACATCCCCATTCGCATTGCGCGCTTTGCCATTGTCCTCTCCCTTTTATGGGCATTCTGGTGGCCACCCAATGCCTGCGAGCTGAAGAATTTCCGCCTACAATAATTACAAGAGAAAACTCTAGGAATTGCTGATGCTGAAGCATGAGCTTCAGCTCCCACTTCTCTGTTAGTATCACTTGGACCCTTCAACTCTTCATCACTGAGATTGAAGTTGAGGGTCAAGTCAAGGGAAACCGAACCTGGATCAACATCAGCCTTTGTAAGACAAGAAGATGTGGTGGTGCTTTCCTTGGTATGCTCATATGATGTTTCTTGTACGGATATATTGGAACCTTCTTGGCTGTGGACTTCTGAATCATCTTCAGGTTCCAGGTTCAAGTTTGGAGTCATCATGTTTAATGGATCTGCTATGAGCTAACTTCTTTCGTAGTAAGCAATTGGAATGGATCAAATTCCTCACTCTGGCTAGCTTAACATAAAAGCATCACCTACATTGATGAAGATATACATTATTTTTTATGACAAAGTACAGAAATTTGTGCATGCATGTCATTTGGAAAATTCAAAATTCAGGGTTTAATATCAAATGGGCAGTAAACACAATCAAATAAAGCAAACAGATCCAACTGTCCAAACTAATCATTTATAAGCAAATAAAAAACCTTCTAGATAAAAATTAACTTCACAATAAAGTATATAAAGGGATTGAGAAGCGCCCCTTCTGCAAAATATAACATTCAAGCAGAAAATTTAAGTTAATAATGTAAAAAATCACCTTTTCATTTTATCTCGTATATTCAAAGATCCATTGTTATGAATACATAGGAGATGGATTCAGCTACTGATAATGGATTCTATTTACATAAGAGTGGTGTCAAGGCCCAAAGGTTGTAAGCAATTGGGTGTTGTATGTCAGTAGCATGGAATCAGGAAAACTGTTAATAAATTGTTAGAAGACTCGTATATTCAAAGATCCATTGTTATGAATACATAGGAGATGGATTCAGCTACTGATAATGGATTCTATTTACATAAGAGTGGTGTCAAGGCCCAAAGGTTGTAAGCAATTGGGTGTTGTATGTCAGTAGCATGGAATCAGGAAAACTGTTAATAAATTGTTAGAAGAATGCTACTATGTATCATGCAAGAACACTTACAGAGCTTTGAATGAAAAAATGCACAAAATTCCTTTCTTCTCTTCTTAGGAGACTCTCTGACCTCGAATGAGAGAATTACCCAAACCCCCATTCCTATCATCCATACAGGAAATGGCATAAACAACTGACACAAATCTTAAAAAACAGGAAACAAAGCAAAAATATTGTAACATTTGATAATCATGGATGAAAATAGGAAATAAAAACAGACCAAACGTTTTCTGATACTGCAGTTAAGTACTCAACTAAATGTGAAAAGTGTCACCCAGTATCTCACAGGAAACATAGTCATTGATCAAACCTAAACAATTGCAAAATAAATCTCATGATCTCTTCCAGGTGCTAGTTTGTTTTACGAATTTTGTATATCTATATGCAAATACTGCCCAAATATTAGAGCTATTTAATTAATGTGAAGATACTATTATTTTGTATATAATGATTCCTACTAGACAAGACTAAGTCTATTCATCAGTAAGATGACATGATTGAACCAATTGTTTAATATAACTTCCTATTTGAATGGTAGTTAATGTAAACCCTGAAGCTATAGAAAACATTTCTTCTAGTTTAAAAATGTGAGGTATAAAGATGTATTAAAATGAGAGCAACAAAGCAACGTAGAACAGAATAGAATACTTGGAATAACATAAGCAAGTAATCAAACAGGATATCGGTGCCAAAGTTGTAGAGAAGATAGGAAAGAATAAAGTAAAAAGAATTCCTTACAAGGATCACAAGTATAAACAATTTTTTTCTTTACTTGTTGCAGGCCCAAATCTTCTGGGACAAAGGTTTGTTTCTTGTTTATTTGACCAGTTCTCAGCAAGTTAATGTGGGCTGTTATCTCAGATGCAGTGTCATGATGGATTTATAATTTTCCATGCTTCTAATATCATTCCTATACATTTACTATGAAGGCCTCTGTCTTTAAGAATTCAACATGGAAAAGACAATGCGTGCTCACAACAAAGAAGACATGACTGAAACATAGGTATATTTCAAATAAAACTTTAAGCAAATGACTTCACTGAATGATAAATAGTAAATGCTATTTGTCTACAGCGACTTTTAAGATTTTCATCATTTAGAAATACACTGCCTGCCATAAATTTCACCCCATTAATAATATTCAAGCACATTAGCAGACCTATCTCCAAAATACATCCACCAACCTCAGAATCAATACAACCCAAAGGAAAACGTTTTTTGGGATAAAAGGGAAAGAAAAAAAAAGTATTCCATATTTAATCTAACAAATATTAGGATTGTGAATATCAATGTAATAAATTCATTGCAAATTTGCAATTATCCTCATAAAGTTCATCTTTGTGCATTTTTATAGAGAGAAAAATACACAGCAAGGGCACACAGCTGAAATTGTCAGCTCCAAAATGATCCTTGTATTTAACTAAATCAGAGTCAACAATATTGTTTGTAACCTCAACCCTAACCCACAGTGCAAATCAAAATTAAATTTTGGAAACTGGTTTCCTATATTACCATGCTTTACTGATCACTCAGGGGGCAAGAAACTAAAATGACAGAAACAAAAACTAAGTTATATAAGCCATGCAAATATGTATGAATCAACTTATTTTGCATTCAAAAAAAGGCCTTTCTTTCAGCCAAGAGCTATTTCATGAGCATTTTGAAAAAAAAAAAAAAAAAAATCCAAACAAGTATGTATATTCCAATATGTCCTCATCAAGTGATTGTTGATAGAAGAAATAACATAGGCCAATTGTCAAATAAAAAAAGCTTGGATTTTAAAGACCAGAATAGGCAACTCTTTTTCTTTTGCTGACTTTCTGAAAAATACTGTTATTTTTCCACAACTTTGTGGTGTTCTTTTTAATCAGATACATAGCTCTGGAATCAGGTCTGGCTGTGACCAAGTCAGGGATGGTATTAGAGCTGCTTCAAACCCACACAAACTATAAATGTGGCTTTCAGCTATCTTTTATATCATATTTATTTCTAAGTGCTTGACAGTCTAATTCCTAATCTTCACCTCCAAGCCTGTGCTGAGTAGCTCTTGCTGAACTTCCATTCCGTTAAAGAAAAAAGAATTTCAGTATGATTTGCTTCTTTTGTATAACTGGAGCCAACTATTAACCACAATATAGCAGTTTTAAGATGTAACTTTTCAAATGCAAGAATAAGTAGTAGAGAGCATGACCTTCAACCATTTTGTTTAGTTCTCACTTCTCATCCAACAAGAAAGGAGTCGTCATCCTTCACCCTTGAGGTTTGTCTAAACTAAGGTAAAGATGATTATCATAACTAACTGTTGCTTTTGACTTTTCATGTCTTTAGAAAGAACATAACCTGCCTTCTAATTAGAATAGAACGGACACATTTCTTTAAGCTTCTAACATATATGCTGATGCACGTAAGTTTACGAAAGCACAAGATAATGCCTAAATTAGCATCACGCCGATACAATCACTGATCAACAATTCAACATCATTTTATCTCTCTCGAGGTAACTAGAACATAGTCCATGTAATGGTTCTGTTTATACATGTTCGTGAGAATGTGATGCATCAACCCCAGAGGCTATTAATATTAGTTACAATTACTCAATTGCAAACACCATAGAGTACATCAAACTATGTAAAAATTGCACTTCATATTTTCATAGTATCACAGAAAACACATAAGGAGGCCGAACGGTGCCTAAATTATTCAAAGATAAAAACTAGAACTACATACTTTTGTGGTTCAGACCTACTAGTACTTTCTCTTATGAATCACAAATTTGGGAGTTGTTCTTCACAAACCATTAATCTTAAGGAACATTACTATGGCAGTTGAGATGAAAAGGCACAAGATAACCTTTAAAGAAAAAATAACAAAGGTTTACAATTTATTTATTTTAAAATCAAATAGGTTTTATTTAACATAACACTCAGAGAGAGCCATAACCATGAGTTTGAGAAACTTGACTCTTCCATGCTTGCATACAAGTTACTTTAAGACATTAACCAAAAGATTCCTACATTACTCATCAGTTCATTTAACAAACTTTCTCATCAAACCCATTGATTGTAATGCACCAACCACCCCCCCCCCCCCAATGCTTTTCCATTACATGAAAACAAAATGGGTAGTAAAAAAATTGCACAACCCCAAAGGAAAAACTACAAATATCCTCCACTAAGTCTACGACGGTTCAGACTAGGAAAACAAACTTGAAGAGCAATGAGAATCAAGAGCAACTAAAATTGCCAAAGCAAATAAAAAGAAAACATAGAGAACTCCCACTAATAATTACTCAGATCTAATTTTTATACTCAAGAACCACTTCCAAAATTTGAAAAAAATAAAAATAAAACAAACTCCTCAAATCAGCAATAAAAAAGTTTACTTGCAAGCTAGAGTGAACCTCCACTAAACTCCCAAAGACAAGAAAAGCAAAAGAAAAAAGAAAGAAAAAGTGAGGAAATAAAGAGTAAAAAGCAGCACAAGGCTTCAAAATGCATGTACAAATTAGAAGAAAGTAAGAATCGAAATGCAAGTACATATGTGAAAAAGATGAGTGAAAAGATGCACTTACGTAGTACTGTACTATTAAAAAATTCTGCAGGCTAGTTCAGTGACAAGCTACTTTGAAGAGCATGAGGAACAACAAGACCTGCTGTAGTACTTCTTCAAAATTCACCACTATGAAGGGGTGGTGAGAGACAAAATAAAAGAGATAAGATTACAGAGAGACAGAGAGAGAGATTATGGGAAAGCAAAAGAAAGAGAAAAAGAGAATGATGAGGCAAAGTCAGAGGTAAGATAACATGTACAAACACTAGAACCACTTCTTTTTACCAAATTTGAAGTTTCTATCTATGTGCTGTGTTGTTCCACTTTCCAGTTCTTAATTAATAATCAGTGTCTGTCTGTGATTTGGGAAAATGGACAAACGGAAAGACAAAAAAAATTAATGGGGGTTTCATTGTGTGAAGCCCCACACAACCAACACAAGACATGGCTACAGTGCTTCTTGGGCCTCCACTAACAAAAAGGAACGGTCCATTATATATTCAATATAATACATTTCTATTCTTTATGTCACATAATAATACTTTTATTAAAAAAAATTCATTTTCTGTATTTTAAATATAATAAATATAATTTTTAAGAAAATTTACCTCCTTTTAATTACTTATTTTTAATTTTTTTAAAAAGGGTTAATATTTTTCTTATTTATATATTATGAAGATTTGAAGATCTTTCTCTATGCTATGATTAACCCAGCCCCTTTGTCCTACTCAGATATATTATATGGACCCCCATAACTCCCCACCCTTTCTGATTTGTCATGCTAACTTTATTTTTTCTTTTAAATTTAATTTTGCACCAACAAGCTATAAATAATATCAACATTTATGCATAGAAGCAAGGTACCCCTTTCTAACCCAACAATTTTTCTTCCCTTTGTTATGATACCTCTCACACGTACATATGCAATTTTTTAAGTACAGTTAAATAATATAAACACATTTGTCCTCACTCCTTTAGCATTTCTTTTTCAATTTTCATCATTGAATATTTAAATTGACTTTTCATAAATATTTTGGACATCTGTTGGTTCTTTAAAAGTTTAATAATAAATATCCATTTTACTCCATTAAATTATAATTATTAGTTATTTTAATTCTCAAGTTTTCAAATATTTTAATTTAGTTTTTTACTTTTTACAAGTCAGTTATTTTATTTTTTATATAAAAAAGGAATATTTATAAGTTGTTTTTTTAACCTTCATGGCTCCATATCCCTTGCCATGCATCAAAAAATAATTATAAATAATATTTTACTTTAAATATTTGTTCAAGTTCTTTAGACAGGTTTTAATAATTAAAAACTAACTTATATTCTATATATAAAGACTTTGGAGCTCAACCAAAATCATTCTACATTTAATAATACCATGAGAACGCTAAAGAAGAGCAAGGTGAAAGAGTGGGTCAACAAGAACATTGCTATAAGCATTTGCATATACTTGAACTTCCCTTTAATTTATCATATTTTAATTTTGTAATAATTATAAATACCTATGTTTACTTATATTTTATAAAAAGAGTATATTTTTCAAGCACACAGAATTTATGAATTTTAATTTTTTATTTTTTTTAAATTAAATATTAATATAAATTCGTGATATAAAAATTTAAAGATAAAATAAAGAAAAAAGATTAAGAGTAATATAACAAATTATGAACTATATTACCATTTAACTTACATAGGTTAATGTTAAGTATAAAATTAGAAAAAATAGTTAAACATTAAAATAAAAAATTTAATAGATAATAATTTAAAATAAACCTTATTTAAATATAATTAAAATATATTTAAATGTTTTATAATAATTAATATAAAATTATATCTATAATGTATTCTAATTGGTTAATAATATAAAATTGTTTATACTTGCAGTACATTAATATTAAACTTTTGACGAAATTTTTTTAGAATAAAAAAATTGAAGACATTATTTCAAATTAAAAATGAAAGAATTTGAAATAATTATTTTTTAATAAAAAGGACAAGACTTAAAGACGTTAATTTAAAAAAAAGAAGAAGAAAGAATTCAAAGTAATTACTTTCTGGATTTTTTATAAAAAATAAATAAATAATTTATTGATTAAGTTCAATAAGAAAATAGATATTATATGTATTTTAAAATTATTATAATTATAAATTATTAAACCAGTAGCTCATACATTAAATTAAATGAAGAAATATATTCACTTATGAATGAATAATGTACGAGTGTTTCTTTATCACAAATATTACCAAAGATAAAAATATAAAAATAGATCGTTATTTTTATATTTAGAAAAAATATAGTAGTAATTTATTTTTATAAGAAACACTATATTTCAGTATATAAAATTTCTAAATACCATAAGAAAATAATGCATTGTATTGAACTTGGATTGGTTTGGATTCAAAGATACAAGACTCGACCATGTTTGGTTCAATTAAAGGATTGCTTAATGCATAAATCCTTATGAATATTGCAAATCGTTGAATTGGTTTTTTCTCTAAACATATATTATTTTTTAAAAGAAAATACTTTTTATAACTAAGAAGTAAAAATAAGATAAATATATAAAATAATGATAAATTAAAAATTTGCATAAAATATCATATTAAGTTAATAACAATGATGACAAAAATAATAACTTTTATTAATATTAAATTAGTACAAAAGTACAGAGCCATTAAGCAGAAGAACAATTTGAAACGGTAAATGGGGCCTCTCTGAATAGGGATGAATCATTTCATAATTTGTTTTTTCAAAACAATATGCTATTTATTTCAAAGTTATGCTAATATTACAAAGTATAATTAAAAAAAATAAGAATTGAGGTGACCAAACTAGGAGAAAAATGAGATAAAGCAACTTTAAGTGTATATAATAAAAATAAATTAAAAAAAGGATCAAATAAAAATGAGTATTCACAGTAATAAAGTGAAAATATTTATTTGTACTCTGAAAATATAAAAAGAAATTGTAAAAGTGAATTCATATAAAAATTTTAAAAAATTATTTGATTTAATTAAAAATTGTTTAAAAAATAAGTTTATTTTAGTAGCTTCTAGCATTTTATTAAATGTTTTTTCTAACTTAAAAATATTTTGAAACAAAGATACTCCCTCATTTAAATATAGAATAAAATGTTATGTCAAAGATTTACGAGATGGGTTTGTTTTGAAAAAAATGAAATTTACATTAATATTGGATTTAGATGCCTAGTTTAATGTAAACTTTTAATGATATTATATTTGTAAGTAAAAAACTCTAAATTTTTTTTAACAATTCTTCTTTGTTTCTTCTTATTGTTGTAGTAGTAAATAATAATAAATAATTTTTAATTATCTTTTATTGATGGCTAAAAATACATAATTTTCATATTTTTGTAAAATTAAAAAAGTTGACATCAGCTATTAATAAAATATTATACTTCTAAAAATGAAAATTATATTTAAAATTTCTTATAAAATATTTTCATAAAATAAGTATTAAATAAACGGTCTATGTTTTGTTTAACGTGTTTTTAATAGACAAGTATTTATTTTAATTGATTACTGAGATAATTTTTGCAATTATTCGTTAGAAAAGAAAAAAAAATCAAACATATGTAAATATGTGATTAAATGTCGATTTTAATCTTTTTAGCGGATCACATTAATTATTAATTTTGTAAACATATAATTTTTAATCTTTTTAACATAATTAAATTATTTTTTTATTTTTTATACTGAAAATATAAAACAAATATCTATAAATTAAAAATTAAAAGGAGTAAAAATTGGCATTTCCTAGGAAATACGTGTTTATCAAAACGCAGTGCCGTGGCTGCAAGTTGCAAGCCCTGAAGTCTGAACCCCTTAAACCCCAAACGCGAAATCGGCGTTGAACAACGCACGACGCAGCGAGCGGTAAGGTGGATGCTAAAGTTAGTTACTTCTCCTAACAATGAAAGCTGTGAGAACCCTAAAGAGGAGCCTCTGTTCCACATCCTCTCTCAGTTACAACAATTCCGCAACCATTTTCCGGGCTTTCTTCTCAGCCCAACCGCAACATCACAGCGACACCGATTCCGTCTTCGACAGTTCCAACTATGCCATCGAAGCCCACCACGAGGATCCCAAGCCCATGTGGGAGGAGAAATACCGGGCCCGGGCGGACCAAGTTATATTCGGCGAAGAAGGCCCCAAGGGGAAACTGAAGCTGAAGGAAGAGGAAGATGAGAGAAGGAGAAGGGTTCTGGCCAAGGCTTTGCTCGAAGCAGCACTCGATAACCGTGAGGAAGAGGAAGCGGAAGAGAAGGGCGTGGTCGCTGAGGAGGACCAGAAATCTTTGACCGTCGGAATCATTGGCGCCCCCAATGCTGGAAAGTCTGCGCTCACTAATTATATGGTTTTCTTCAATAATCTCTTTTCCATATTTACTTTTTATTTTCTTCAATCTGTATTTTCACTAATTATATGCTGTTTCATGAATTGCTAGCCACGCACGGCTAGTTGTTTATTGTTGATTATAATAAATTTTGAACCATTAAGGGTTTGTTTGAATAAGTAGCTGATACATACTTGGATTCATTAAAAACTTTGCTTCTAGCATCTTTTGTTGTCAGTAATTTTATCGAATAGATTCTGAGTATGATGTACACTTTTTCCTGATTTGTCGTAGGTTGGAACAAAGGTGGCAGCTGTTTCACGGAAGACAAACACCACAACTCATGAAGTAGTGGGAGTGTTGACAAAAGGAGATACCCAAATTGTGAGTAACTGGGCTGATTATTTTCTTTCTTCGTGTGTGAAAGGGAACATCATGCTTTTACAATTAGACTTGTTGAATAAGAGTAGATGTTTGTGCTATTAGAATATAATACATTCAATAAATTAGTTTTATTTAATTGGGAATATATGATTTCTCATTTGAGCCAAAGTACGGATTTGGTTTTATATAATCCAAAATACTTCATTCGTTGCATAGATTTCAGTCTAAGTATGACAAACTTGATCTATAGCAATTATGTTTCAGTTTTGTGAAGTATTCAAATTCAAATAGTAATAGTAATGGACTTGTTGGTCATCAGCTGTTAATATATGTTTGACCAATATTCAACAAAACTTGATTTTATTTATGTATTTCATTCTGAATAATAAAGAAAATGTCTCATTGTGAGATGAGAACATTTTGCTAATATATTTGTGACTTGTAACTGGTGGAATAACTTTCCAAATTTACTACTAGTATAGACCCACCCTTCTTCTATACATCATATTGCAATTGCCTAATATAATTACAGTGATTTCTGGAGGCAAGTAACTGATTCAATTAGAAAAGACTCTCTTTTTTTTATTATGCTTAATATTAGAGCAACAGCATTACTTGTGTGTTTTTGGATGATATCTGTTATGACTGTGGGAAGGAGTTAAGATAGTTAAAATATTAGTTAGTTTATTAGTGGGAGTTAGTGACATAAATAAATAGGATTGAAAGGGGAGGAAATTCATTCAGTTCTGTGATCATTGATAAATTTAACTTTTGCTCTTAGTGAAAGGAGAAATTCTTTGTGAAGGGTAGAAACCCTTGGAGGAGTGATCTGTCTCCAATTTTCTATTATTTCCATTCAATTCATAAAATTTTTTCTGTTCTGTTCTGTTCCTGGGTTACTAACAATATCATTTGACTTGAATGAATTTGTAATTTGAAGTGTATGTTGAACACTAAAAAAAAGTCAAATATTGACTTTGATAGCGGCAAACAACAGGAAAAAGGCGCTTCAGGAGGTTGTGGCTTACAATAAATGATCCCACCGCTGCAGTTTTCCTTGATTGTTATTTAGCTTATGAATAAAAAACCTATTAAACTTTATGCTAGCATTTTGATAAATCCTTGTAATTGCTACACTACATTACTACTTTCACTTGATATTATTCTCAACCAGTCAACCTACCACTTCTTGGTTTTGCATTTTGTCATTTGTTGATGATTTGTTGATTATATTCATCTATAACTTGGCAGATTTGCTTTTCTATCCTTATTCTTACTATTTCATTGTTCTTTCTTTTTTTATAGGTTTTTAATTTGATAATGCATTTTAATTAGCTACGGACTCACAGTCATATCATATTATATTTGCAGTGTTTTTTTGATACACCAGGGCTCATGTTGAATTGTGGTGGATTCCCCTATAGGGATGTCAAGGCTCGTGTTGAAAGTGCTTGGGGTTCAGTCAATCTCTATGACGTGCTCATAGTCATATTTGATGTTCATAGACATATTACCAGGTCAATCATTTATTATGTAAATTAAGTAGAAGTCTTATCAATCTTTTAACTTTTTCTTTCTATATTAAACCTTTTTGGGAGAATTCTCTATAAGGAATTCCTTTTAAAATTGTTTAACTTGAATCTGGGTGGGGAAAACCCAAAAATCTGGACTTGCAGCTTAAAATGGCTTAGTAATTACTCAAAGTGTTCCTTTATTACAAATATTATTTCTGTGAGAATTTGTATTTTAGAATTTCCCCAACTTTTCTATTTTATTTATCCTATAAGCCTTGTAGAGAAGACCCACATAAGCCTTGAATCTGATTGCTAGAAACAGAGGAAGATTGAGAAAAACTAAATGCAAAACAATTCAGAAGGATTTAAAGGTCAAAAGTGTGTCTATAGACATGATTTATAACATAACATTGTGGCATCATTTGATCCTTTTAGCTCACCCCACCCAATGGGATAAGACTTGGTTGTTGCTGTTATGATTGGACAATTGAGTTGGGTTGTTTGGTAACTCTTTTATTTGTATACTTGTTATACCAGTAAGTCTTATTCCTCACTAATGTAATAATTATTGTGATGTATTGATGTGCTGATGGATCATTGGTAGCAAGCAGTGTACAAACATCAATCAAACTTACAGTACCTTCTGTCCACAAGGCATATACTGCTCTTCTGGCTGTTTAGACTGTAGTAGGCTTTTGTAGATTGTTATGTTAAAGTGGCACCACAGATGCAATCTCTTGTCATCATATTTTTGTCTCGTCTTCGACCTTTGGCCTTGTTATGATTTATGTTTTGATGGCATATTTTTTTTATTCTTTTTGTAATTAGTGAGCACATCCCTATCTTATTGACATTCAATCAATACAGGCCCGATTCAAGAGTGATAAAACTAATCAAACGTATGGGAGCTCGAGGGGTTCCAAATCAAAGGCGAGTTTTGTGTATGAACAAGATTGATTTAGTAGAGAAAAAGAAAGACTTATTAAAGGTTGCTGAAGAATTCAAAGATCTTGCTGGATATGAAAGGTAAGGTTTTCTTGTAGAAATGCTTGAGTCACTGATATCCACTGTGATTGTAACTTTTCTGTTGATCGACTGTCATGCTTTAGCTAGCTTCTAATACCATTATTTTTCTTATTATTATGCAGGCATTTCATGATATCAGGACTGAAGGGGGCTGGAGTAAAAGATCTGACTCAGTACTTGATGGAGCAGGCACGGATTTTTGTTTTTCTGATGTCTACTTGCTGATACTAATGATTTAACAGTTCTCTAAGGAATCACTAATGTGTTTGTTGGGGTGTAGGATGATACTACCCACTCCTGGTGGAATAAGACCTAGTTCCATTTACAGTCATAATTGCTTTGATTTTTTACCATGCATATGCATTTCTTTACCTTTTACAATTACATTTTTTATAATTTATTCCTGATATCTTTTAATTAGAATAATCCCTGATTTAATTCTGGATTTTTAATTTGTTTGTTATGCATAGGCAGTTCAACGACCCTGGGAAGAAGATCCATTCACCATGAGTGAGGAAGTTATGAAGATTATTGCATTAGAAGTTGTGCGTGAAAGGTTATTGGACTATGTACATCAGGTAGGTGTTGAACACTCATTTATTCTTCTAATATATAGCTAGAATTTGTAAGAAGTATATTTCAAGATTAGTCGATAGTGTTAAAATATTAGATATTAACTAGCAAATTTTTCAATTCAGGAAATTCCATATGATATTGAGCATAGGTTGATTGACTGGAAAGAGTTACGGGATGGTTCTCTTAGGATTGAGCAACACTTTGTCACTAACAAACTTAGCCAACGCAAGATTCTTGTAGGGAAGAATGGCTCAAAAATTGGGTAACTTCTATCTTCAGCCTTTCCTTTATGTAGCTTAACATATTTTATTGTTATTTTAGCAGCTTCTATTGTTTTGAATATGATATCACTAGATTGGAATGCTGTGATTCATGTTTGATCACTGCGTATCGGAAAAATGGGGATATCTCCATTTTGTTATATATTTTAGATTTTTAAGTGCAGTTGCGCTCATTTTCCATCTGCTGAAAATTTGAGTATTTGAGTACTTTCATCATGCAATAAGCTTTCAGTTTTTGAAAATTCCATTATCTGTAGATTCTTTTGTCAGCTTAGATGATTCTTTTCTCCTGTTTTTGAAAATTCCTTCCACTTGCATGCCCTTCTTACATGCACGAGAGTGGAAGCTTCGGATTCATTTCTATTCTCTGCTTCCTTCAATTGAACGGTTATTTGGGCCTTTCATTATGTTGGAAATTGCAAACTTTTGTGTATATTTATATTATTTAAATACAGGAGAATAGGAATTGAAGCCAACGAAGAGCTAAGGTCTATTTTCAAAAAGCAAGTGCATCTAATTCTCCAGGTGAGGCTTAAACAATGAATCAGGCAAATAGATTTGATGTTGAGAGTGTACTTTCCTTGCCACGTCGCGCTGTGAAATGCAGTACGTAAAATGCCAAAGCAGTGGTGAATCTTACCACTGACAATTGAAGTCCATGGAAGCTTAAAACAACATGCCTAATGTCACGTTGATCACAGAAAATCATTGCTATGGTGACACAGGTTGCGTTCATTGGTGATCAAACAAGCAAGCGTCTGTACCTTTTACCAATATGTTTGCCTGTGGTTAAGGAATTTGATTTGTCAAGTTTATTACGTCTATGAATTTTTAAAGGGAATTTCCATATTTTGGTTTTTGTATTCGATTAGAATTTGGTTTATACCTGCGTTATATATATAAAATAGACAACTAGGGCATTTGCTAGTATGATTCTTACAATGGGTGCTCAAAAAATGCCCATGGACCTGTCATTGTTTGGCAAGATACGACTGATATTGTATAATGTTATTTTATGTATAGCATTTTTTCATGACGAAATTTCATGCGCCCCATAACCCCCTCTCCCCAGGCAATGAAATGATTTATTGATGTTTCGAACTGTTGGCTTTTGGCGGTAAAAGAACTTTGAAAAAATGATTAAGAGATTTTATAATAAATAATCTTGAAATTTACTTTTTGATTGAATTTACTTAAATCGTATAATTCATATAGCTGACTAACTTTCAAATGTTGTTTTCAGTTCCATAATATTTTTCTTTTTAAGTTTCAAATTTTAAATCCATCTAAATTTGATCCATTTCTAGGCGCAAAACTTATGTTTGATTAATACAATAACAATACATGTTTAATTATTTTGTTAAATGTAAACATAAATCAACTTTTAATGTCATAAGTTTTTTTTAAAAATATTTTGATGTAAATGTTAGAATGTAAGAGATTTTATTTTTTTTAACATTATTTCTTTCTGTCTTTTTCTTTTAAGATATAATTTGTTAATAGATTGAATTTCAGCAAAATACTACTCTGAAATAATTTGTTATTGAATGGTTCTTTAGAGTAACAATATAAGAAATCTGAATGATATTTTGACACTTTAAAATTTTTGCACCTGCACCAATTTTGAATTTTTATATTTCCATAATTTTTTCCCTAAAATCTCATATTTTGAGATATATCATTTTTAAAATGTAAAAAGTTGATATGAAAAAAGACAATAATTATCTTTTTGTAAATATATCATTTATTTGTGAATATTTATAACTATTTATATATATATTTTTACTTAATTTGATAAGTTTCTTAATGTAACTGTTTATAACAAGTTATATAAATAAATTTAAGGTAAACTTTTTTTATACAAAATAGCTTAATAATAATCACTTAATTAAGATGTTTTTCCAAACATACTTTAAACTTGCAATAAAAGCTTTAACGTAAAAAGAATTTATTAAGTAAGCAATCAATTAAACTATATACTTCAAATGCTACTTTTTATTATACAAAATAAATTATATTAAATTTACCATATTATTAAAATAAAATTTGAGAAGGAAATAGTTTTTTTTATATGGTTTTAAAAATAATTATATACCAATATTTATATATTTATCCATAATTATAAATACTCAATTCTTATTATTTTAATATGTAAAATGTCAATAGTTATTATTACAAATACAACAAATAAAATAAAATAGAAGATCATCAAATTTGTTGTATATTTTCAAACAAACAAAACTCTTTCTTAGATCAATTTTAACATTTCAAGTTACAATAAATTTTATCTTAAAAAAGATCAGCACAGTGACAATGACCCACAACCTTCGAGCCAGCGAGAAGGTCCCAACCATTATTGCCAAAATTGACAGACCCGTTTTGCACATGTAAATTATGCACTCTATCCAACTAACTGGCGTGCATGATTTTTCTTCTGAGGTGGTAACAGTGGTCCTATATCTTCTGCTTATAAAAGGCCAATCACTCCATAGCTTCTATTGCACACCATCCTGCAAACACACTGTGACAAGTACAATCTGAGTACAGGTATCTCTTTCTCTTTTGATTCTGATATACATAAACAAGTGAAAAATTTGTGACTTTGCCTGTGATACCAGCTTTTTATTTTAATCTTCTCTTTCTTTATCTTAATTTTTTTTTATTTTCTTCTCTTTATTTTATCTTATCTCTTTCTCTTCCCTTCACTCAATTTTTTTCCTCTTTTCTTTTTTTATTTCTTTTTTTCTCAGTCTAATTTAGTCTCTTTTTCTCTTTAGAGCTCTTCTCTTATTTTATTTTTTTCCCTTACTCATCTCTCTTCCTCTTTTTTTCTCTCTTCCTTTAGTCTTTTTTTTTCTTTCACTTTTTCTCACTTTCCTTTTTTCTCATGTTTTTGTCTCCATCTTTTTCTCAGTCTTTTTTTTTATTTTTTTATTACTATCTTTAGCTCAAGATTTTTTTTATTTTTACTTAAACTAATTTTACTAGATTAAACAAAAATTATTTTTAAATTTAAACAAAATTTTAAGATTTAAGTCAAAAATTACTTTTTGTGCAAATTTTATTTTACTTAAACAAATGTAAATTGCATACTTTCAGGAGTGTTCATGGATTAAATTTTTTAAAAATTAATTTAAATCCATTTATAATTCAATCTATGAACACTCCTAATTATATAAATTGAATTATAAATCAATCCATTTTAATTTTTTAAAAACCAGTTTAACTTTAGTTTTAAAATTTAAATTTGGTTTAAAACTAGTTTAAAACTATTTTTACATATAATAAAAATATACTATAATTTTTTTATATTATTATTAAATTATTATATTAAAAAATATTTAAATTTTGTAATAAATAATATAACATTATGTTTGCATATATATATATATATATATATATATATTTGTTAAGAATCAATATTAATTAAAAATAAAATATGAATACAAAGAATACTTTAACTCATTACATCTCTAAAAAAAATTAACAATACACGTCAAAAAAATATTTGCATATATTTTAATTTATTAATAATATTTTTTATATTTTATTGAAGTAATAAATATTTAAATATATTCTAATTTTTATCATCTATTTATCATACAAATTAATTATGAGTTAGATTTTAAATTATTTTATTTTAATTTTTTTAATCAGTTCAAAAATAGTTTTAAAATTTAAATTTAATTTAAAATTAGTTTTAAATTTAGGTTTTTTGAAACTAGTTTAAATTTAATTTTTAAAGTAAAACTAATTTTTAATATATTTATGAATTTTGTAAACTAAATTTTTATAAATATATTATATTTTATAGAAGTGTATAAAATATTTATTATTATTTTTAACATATTTTTAATGAATAGAGTTTATAGTGAAAGTTTAAATTAAAATTTATAAAAATAAAAATTAATAATATAAATAATAATAAAATTATTAAAATATTTTAAAAAATTAAAAGTAAACATAAATATAAAAATAACAATAATAATTAATTTAAAAATATTTTTTATGTTTTAATATTTTTAATTATTTTAAATATTTTAAATATTTTAATTTTAATTATAAGAATTAATAAAAAATATTAGTGGTAAAATATCGTTATAATAAAATTTTGTAAATTAATATAATATAAAAATTTAATAAGTAAATATATAAGGTAATAAGTTCTTCCATATGAATTTGCGTAATTAAAAAAAATCTAGTTTTAGAAAATGAATTTAAACACTGAATTGATTGTATAAATACAGTTAGTAAAAAAATTGATTTAATATAAAGCTGGTTTAATATGAATCTAAATTTTTAAAATAAATTTAATATTAGTCATGGATTCCCCTTGTAAAACCCAGATTTTTTGAATACCCCTGCATACCGTATAGTTTCTTTCCGGATATACGCTTTGATTTTCTTTCACATCTGATAGAGATATCGGTAAAACTTGCTGAAATTCATTGGCGTGCTTAAATCATAAAAGGTCTTGTTGGGTTAAATATGTTGGCTACGTATCTATGGCGGAAGCCTCATTTGCCATCATCCTAAAACGACCATTAAATTGTTTCAACCACCTTTAGAGTAAACGTTCCAAAAAATAGGGCCCCAAAGGAACCTACTTACTATGCCAGGCACTACAAAAATAGGTTCAGGTCTATAAGTTTACAGATTTTAGGAGTATGACGATTTTAAATTTGAATTACTGTTTTAGTTTTGATTACATCCTATGAATAAAATTTGGTGCAACTGCATGCAGTTTCAAATGGACGAAACTTTGAAGCTACTGATTTTATGTGCTGCATTTGCTTGTTCATTCTCTGCACTGAGATGTGCGCCAACAAATTATGACCCCATTAAATTTACTACCGAAGGTGCGACTCCAAAAAGCTTCAAGCAGTTCATTGAAGCACTTCGAGAAACACTAACAGGTGAGCTGATACATGACATACCTGCACTTCGAAATCCAGCAAGAGTGGCAGCAGAAAATCGATATCTTACAGTGGAACTCTCAAACTCGGAGACGGACTCTATCGAAGTAGGTATCGATGTGACTAATTTATATGTTGTAGCATACCGAGCAGAAGCTCGGTCCTATTTCCTCCGTGATGCCCCAGAATCTGCACCTACCTACCTTTTCACTGACACGGAGCAGCATACCCTTCCTTTTACTGGTGCTTATGGTGATCTAGAGAGTTGGGCTCATCAGGAAAGAGAGGAAATAAACCTAGGGTTACAAGCCTTGACACATGCGATATCGTTTCTACGAAGTGGGGCCAATGACAATGAAGAAAGAGCTCATACCTTAATCGTAATAATCCAAATGATTGCAGAAGCAGCTCGATTTAGGTACATATCAAACCGGGTTGGTGTCAGCATCCGAACTGGCACGGCGTTTGGACCTGATCCTGGCATGTTAAGTTTGGAGAACAATTGGGATAGTCTGTCAGGAGGGGTTCAACAATCAGTTCAAGGAACTTTTCCAAACGCTGTCAGGTTAACAAATATTCGTCACCAACCTGTTATTGTAGATTCCTTGTCGCACCAAACTGTTGCAGTTCTAGCACTGATGCTTTTTATCTGCTATCCAAATCCAAACCAATCACCTCTGTTAATAAGATCAATTGTGGAAAAATTAGATACGTGCGATGTTTTTGAACCAACCGTGCGCATTGCTGGTCGAGATGGGATGTGCGTGGATGTCTCTAAAAGTGCCTATAACGATGGCAATCCTATCATAATGTGGAAATGCCAAGACCAGCTTAAAGAGAACCAGCTGTGGACCTTGAAACGTGACAAGACTATAAGGTCCAAAGGAATGTGTTTAACCACCTATGGTTCTGATCCAGGGAATTATGTCATGATATATAATTGCGCCACTGCAGTACCAGTGGCCACTTATTGGGAAATATTAGACGATGGAAGTATTATGAATCCACGGTCTGGGTTGTACTTGAGTGCTGAATCTAGTACCATGGGAGGGACACTCACCGTGCAATCGGGGCAATATCGATTGCGACAGGCCTGGCGTACAGGCAATGACACAAGCCCTTTTGTAACTTCAATCGCTGGGTATTTGGATCTCTGCATGGAAGCTCATGGAAGTAACATGTGGCTGGCTGACTGTGATAGCAAAAAGGAGGAGCAGCAATGGGCACTTTACCCAGATGGTTCTATACGTCCAGTGCAAAATACAAACAATTGTTTAACTTCTGAAGAACACAAACAAGGTGCTACCATTGTCATGATGGATTGTAGCAATGCATGGGCTAGCCAACGATGGGTTTTTCACAGTAATGGTACCATTTTTAATTTATATGACAACATGGTGATGGATGTGAAAGGCTCTGATCCAAGTCTTAAACAGATAATACTTTGGCCATGGACTGGCAAGGATAACCAAATATGGGTTACTTTGTTTTAATGGCTTCGTGCCTGAGGAGGCAAATGCTATTTGCCAGTGTAATGTTTAAATAAGTGATATTTATCTATCCATTTGCAAAAATTGTTAAGAGCTTCGTGCTGCCTTGCATTTTTATTAATATGCTTAACTAGTAAATTTATTATTTAGCACGACCCTAGGCCATCATGTGATCAGTAAAGAGAACCGAGATTGCTTCAAATCAAAATATATTTTAGAACCTAACTGCTTAAATCGACACTCACCCAATACAATTGGAAAGCTTAAGAAATTTTGATTTTTCTCCCTCTCCAACATAGAATTTCATGATTGCTTTTATGGACCTTCGATGGCTAAGAGTACTCGTTTCAAAGAATTGCAATTAACGATAAACAGTCAAGCTGTTGAGTTTCATCGAATGATGGAAATCTTAGAATTGTACGATCAAGAACAACAGGCTCAGAAGCTCGAGAGCATATGGATCAGTTGCAACACACTATGGCTTATTTTTTTCAGGTAAAGGAATGAAGATCTCGGCCAAAATGTTGTTGCTTTCTGCCTTTGTCAGTCATAGGTCCCACACCCGTCTGTGTGACTCTGACTCAGAGATCCATATGACCTCCTTGTCGGGCAGAACTCAAATCCTCGCTTGATTTGCACTCATCTGTGGAATGCATTAAAATAGATAACAAGAAAAGAGATTTTAAGAAGACACGAGAGAGAGGGTGAGTCCAAATATAAGGTACAATCTATCTAACAATCGCCATAGGCTAAGTAAATTTAAAAGGGACTAAACATATAATTCAATGGCCATACACAGGGTGCCTACACACAGACATGATGCATGATGTAGTAATTTCAAACAATTCATATGAATGAAACGATGTAATGCATGTCTCTCATCAGATATCCCCTTTTAATCAACCATCCTCCAGTCTGATGAGGCCCAAAGAGTAAATGAGCTTCGTGAACTACTAGCCCATGAAGGAGTAAATGGCTGAGGTGGCCAAAACTTGGAACCCTTCCTTCTCCATGCATAAAGCCAAGGTTTTAACTTACTTGGTGCCAAAGAGAGTTGTTTCCATCCGTACATGTTGAAGAGGAGCTTTGATTATTCTTATTGATACTAAATATAGGTACTAAACAATTTCCAATTTCTTTTTCTCCATGTTTTCACCTATCAATGCAAGAAGGCAAGGTTTTTGCACTTCCTCAGTGGAAAAGTTTGAAATCTTCTTCATAATAGTCACTGAGTGAGACATTTTTGATCCTCTAAACATGTTTTTCTGCATCCAGTGACTACATATTTGAATTGTGCAATAAAAAATCTTTCAAAATCAAGTGGTTTCACTCAAAATAGACATTGAATTCATAAGTTATGGTGAAAATGATAAAATTTCTTCCTTGGTTTGCATTTTCTGCATTTCATCAGCAAAGGAAGCTACCTTTTTTTTTGTTTCTTTAGTATCCAAACTTCACATGCTAATACATCTGCTTATTCCTTGTAGAAATACTTTTCAAACAGTGTATATTGAGCCTTAATCTGACATTGTTTACCCTCTTAATTGCCTAGAGTACGTAAGTAGTCTTGTTTTTACATTTTTATGCAATAACAGCATAAAAAGTATTGTTTTTGCCATCTATACTGATATGTATTAATATGAAATTTTGATTTTCAAAAACTATACGAATATAGCTTTTCATTGCATTATCTCAAGCTTGATTCAGAGTTCATTTCACCACTCAATGACTTCATTCTATAAGCATGATTCAAGTTGAATTCTGCTAGTACAACAACCACTGTTCTTGAATTTTTAGAAAAACTTTATATAGAGAAATTGAATGTAAACTTTCCATCTAATTCCTTATTGTCTTCACTTTCTGATGCACTTTGTGACTTGTTAATCGGACTCCAATTGATTAAGATATGCACAAAATGGTAAAACACATGCAAAGTTAAATACTTCATAGATTCATTAGTTGTTTATGGCCACTTTCGGAATAAAATTTGGATCAAGGATGAATGAGAAAAATAATTTTTACAATGTTATATCAGATTTCAAAAAATTTTGAAAATAGTGGAAATAATGTGTTTTTAAATCCCTTTCATCCAACTTTATGAACATGTATTAGCACTTCTGAAATTCTTGTAATGATATCATATGCACAATTTGGAGCTTGTTTGATCATTCAGTTGTATTTACTAAGTGAGTCACTTGAAGTTGTCATACATCTTATGATAAAAGAGTTACAACTATGCAAGACTATGATTCTACACTACATACATGCATGAAAATTTATTTTAAACATATTTTCATAACACTTAAGATGTTATCCTTCAAAACTTTTTTACAAAATTGGATTTGGACATCATTTTCCCCACTTTTAACGCAAAACTCAAAATTTGCACAAGTTAAAATTCTGTAGCATTGATTTCTGAAAAGAATTTGTCATGACAACAACTTTCATTCAAATTATGGACAAATCTATATGTTGAATGATTTTTATAGTTTTACCAATGTATTCTAGATAATCTTAACTTTTCAACAAGCTATCTTAGCCCATTTTAAATCTCATTTGATAAGTCAAAAAGTCGAGACAAATAGAAGTCTTATTTAAAAAAAATCAATAGATAGAGTTCGCATAAATGTGAGTGTTAAGATTAATCTGCACTTCCAAAAATTTGAATCAACACATTTTTAAAAATCTCAAATGTAATCTTCATATGAGTTAGATGGACATCCCACGAGGCACTATAAATGAGTATATCATCGAAAAATATAAATTTTAGTCCTCCCTACTCTCTAAAATCTTCCTTTCCAAACAATTCTTTAAAGTAATTTAATCCCTTCTCATTTTAAAATATTTTTAAAACTAAATCTATATTCGTATAATACATAAGATATTTATCATTACTTTATAAAGAAGGAATAGCGAATAATTTGAATCATATTTTATTAATTAAGTGTAAAGTATAATTAATTTAAATTAAATATACTAAATATATTCCTTTTATTTAAATTTGATAATGTTTAATATTGTTTTACAAAAAAAATTAGAAACATAATAAATATTTTAATCATTGAAATAAATTTACTAAATTATTCTTATTAATTATTTCCCTTAAAATATTTTTTTATAATTAACCAATTTAATAATATATATATATATATATATATATATATATATTCAAAACATAAAAACATTTAATGCCATATTTATTAAAAGTATAATATATAACAAATTAAACCAATATTCTTGAAAAATATATGTATTAAATATAACAAATTTATTAAATGTCATAATTATTCATTAAACACATGACTTTTCATATCAATAAAATATTAAAAGAATCGTTAATATAAAAATTATTCAAAAACACTTATGTTTTTAAAATTTGACTGAAAAATTAATTATTCACAATTTAATATTTAATATTTATACGAATTAATGTAAAAATACTTACATTTAGGACGAGTTAAATTAAAATAATTTCACACTAGTCTATTCATCTTAATAATAATTTATTTATATTTAATCAAGAGTTGATATTTAATTAAAATTCAGTTTTAATATAGTTAAACTTAGTTTATATTTTATTAGAATTATATTTATAACTTTTTTCATATTTTATTAGTAGAATTAAATTAAAATTTTATAAAAATAGTACTCAATATTAGCATATATATATATATATATTGATTAAAAAAATAAAAATAAAATTTATATCTAATTTAGCCCTTCTAATTTTTACTTTTGCTTGTACCATTAGATCTTCAAGTTTTACCTGGAGAATCTCTTTAAAATATGTTTGAGAGACACTGGCAGAAGAAAAAGGTAAGAAATAACATATTTTTTAATTTTAAATTAAAAGAAATATATATAATTTATAATGATAAATATATTATTAATATGTTAAATTTATGTTAATATATCAATTTATATCTTTTATTTAAAAAGTATTAATTTTAAATATGTATTTTTTAAAATATAAATTTTATCTTCTCTTCTCTTTTCCCAAACAATTTCACAATGTCAAATCTTAGACTCTAAATTAAATATGTATTCCTGCTTTTTTAATAGTCTTCATCCTGTCTCGTATATTCGTTTTTAAAAGGTGCAAGTGACAGAGTGCATTAATTTCGATAATAAAAAATTATTAACTAATTTTAGGACAGTGCTTCTGAGACATGTTTATTAAAATGAATGAGCATGGAGGTAAATATAATCATGGACTTTTTAGGATTAAGAGATAATATTGAATCAAACTATTGCATGAGCAAAGATTCAGCGATAATAATTTGAAACAAGCACACTAGTATATATGAATTTGGAGAGAACACAGAGAAGCAAAATAAACAAAATGTATATTATTGATGATCAAAGATGTCATTATCTCAGCATTTGAACCTCTTAATACAGATCATAAATTCCAGAGGCATGGTTATTCATATTGTAAAGCCTCTTTATTCTATGATCGCTGTCCAACAGTTTCTTCACGAGGACACTTGCAAACGCACTGATTACACTATATTTAATAAGTGTAATATACAACTAATTGAAATAATATTATTAGAAAAGCTTACTTTTATAATCTAAATTCATTTATAATCCATTTATAATGTTTATGGATTGAATTTTCAAAAAATTAATCTAAATTCATTTATAATCTAATTATATAGATTGAATTATAAACCAATCCATTTTAATTTTTTGATTATGCATAAAAGACTTAGATAAGGGTGGCTGTCTCCTGTGAACGGTATTTCGTTTTGGCTGCATCCTGCTAATGGTATTGTTTTGATCTTTGAAGAACACCTGTATTTGCTTTGGACCTTTGAAAAGGAGGACGTTATTTTAGAGGAAAACACCACAATTATTTTCCAACCAGAGGAATATTCTAAATTATTATCCTTGTTGATATATTGGGAAATAGTTCTTAAATAAGGGCCATGTTGGTAAATAAGCCTTTTTCCCTCTGTCTACATCGTCTCTTCCTTGTGATTATTTGTCCTCATACTTGTAATATCTTGGTAGCTGACGTATATATGACCAATGAATGATAGGTTGTACAGGTTTTGAGCTGTCATGAAAACAGAGCAATTGACCAAAACATTGAGGTCTGAGACCCGACTGCAACACTTGAGGAAAAGTTGAATGATTTTGTGTTGTGTGAATCCATATCCGTGACTGGAACTGAGAGTTCCACAAATAAAAACTGTGTT